GCAGGGGCAGGAAGGTTTGCGGGGTCCCAGGGCAGGTACGGGGTCGGGGCGGGAGCCCAAAGGTGGACGGATAGGCACTGGTCTGCGAGGCTGCACTCCGCGCAGCTCTCGGCCCCACTCCTGAGGCTCCCAGCCTTTTCTCTTGCGAAATACAGTCCTGAGGTTCGTGGGGAGCTTGGCGCTGGCCGAGACCCAGGGGCAGGGCTAGCGATGGAGAAATGGGATGGAAACTCCAGCAAGGGAGGAGCACAAAGGTGGGGAAGCGGGAATGGGGGCGTCAGGAACCCTTTTAGACTGGTTTTCTTTAAAATGAACAATGTCCACATGGAGGCGAGGCCACACCTGTGGGTAGGGCTGAAGGGGGCTCTCCAGCCCAAACCTGCTGGAGGAAATAAGCTCAACGCAGTCATATGTGCCCCCCATTTCCCCAGAGCTCCCTTCTAGGGGACGTGAGCAGCTCAGTCTCCATAGGCTTCACTGCAGAACCCTCATCTCCTGCACTACATGGCGGCCACCTCCTGCCTCCCGCCCTGCTTCCTCTCTTGTCCACAGAAGACACTCCTCATACTAGCTAGAAGGAACTTTAAAGTAGTAGATCATGTCACCCTGCCTTAACACCCTCCAGTAGTTTGTTGCACTTGGAACGAAATTTAAACTCTTCCCTGCCCATGCCCCTGATGATCTGGCCTCTGTTGACTACCCACTGGTGCTATTCCACAGCCTGGACTGTGCTGTAACACACCATGCTGGTCCTGACCTCAGGGCCTTTGCACTAGCTGATGGCATCTCTAAAGCTTTTCTCCACGAGCCTGAAGCAGTCCCCAATCAGGCTCAGTTCTCTAACTCTGTCCAGTTGCCTTCAGTTGCAGCATTTGCTCCCTGCAATTAAGCAGAGTAACATCCCATGCTCCCAGGTCTCAGTGACCGGCATCCCTCCCAGGACACATTCTCCTTCTTCTCTCCCCACTCCACTCCCAGCCACAATCTACAGCCTTTTTGGCACCAGGGACTGGTGCTATGAGAATCTAATGCCTGATGGTGGAGCCGAGATCGCTTTGCTAGGTCTGGAGAGCAGCTGCAAATACAGATGATGCTTCACTAGCTCGTGAGCTGCTCATCTCCTGCTATGCGGTCCAGGTTCCTAACAGGCCACGGACCAGTACTGGGCCATGGCCAGGGGCATTGGGGACCTCTGATCTACAGGAAGCCCCAGAGCCCAAGTGGCTGAGCCTTGGAGGCACCTCGTGGACTGTTTGCTATTGCATCGCCTTCATTAGTGCTGTTTTTGCTCCT